TAGATTTATTCTAACCGGTAGGTCGCAGACCAAAATCCCGTTCATTATACTTTGATCTAAAGAACTGATGCATATCATCAATACACATAAATCGAATAGTTCACACTTCAACATATTTGTTACATCATAACAAAGAAAAATCTAATAACGTAATGGTATTTTCAGTATGTAATATCTAAGAGTAATTTTCAGCTATAACGTCGACAAAATTCTATAGGTGTTGGACAGATATTTAGTCTCAATTGGAGACTTCAAATCATCGTCAGTTTTCATATCTCAAAGTCTTGTTTTTCGTTATAGCTGCTCATTGTTGACTAATATGATAAAATAAAATAGTTATGCTTAGCTATTTAATTTTCAACCGTCCCCAGATTGACGTCAATTTCTAGAAAACATAATTGTCCAATTCTACAGAATAACCATAAAATCCCTCAACCCGAAGCTTATAATTTCTCAATTCATAATTATTTCTAGATTATTTTTCCTTCAAAATACATAGTTTTTACAGTATGTTTACAGACGGTATCTGTATTGGCTGGTGCTACTATCTTGACTGAATGGCTGTTTCTGTTTACTACTCAAATCTTCACAGTTAACCAGGCTGTGAATATTATTTGGTTGGTTGTTTTTTTGTGAGACTATAAATTATGGACGACCTTTTGAACGATGTTGAAGTGACCTGGAGAATATCCACTTACTAACTAGGACTAAATTAGGGTTATAAAGTAGTGTGAGGAATTCGAATTATGATTTCCAGTTAATAGTTAGGGTTAAGAATTAGATTTAAGGTTTTCATCACAAACAGACATAAGCCAAAATGCTATTTTAGCCAAATAGATGAATGAATTTCACACCAAAATTCTAGACCTATTATTTTATCTTATCTGATTAGTTTGTTCATCAATTCTAGTCTCACTGTTTGTATTGTTTTTTTTTCTTCAATTATCATCATTATCCTTGTTTAAAATGAGAATCATAAAGTACCATACTCATTCATTTCATGTCTTATGGAAATTACAATGAATTAATTCATTATAATATCAATATCATCTTGATTATTTTTTATTTTAGTTCATTCAATGATGAGTACAATTGAATGTTGTTTACATTTAATCAACATATGAATATCAGTCAAAATGATGTACATAGTTAACCTTTGTTCATGTTACCTAGTAATAATAATAATAGTAACAATGTATTGTTTAAAAAGTTTACATAATACCACCATCATAGTTTAAATGTAATATGTCAATTTATCAGTAATAAATTTTAAATAAAAATACATTTTGAATCAGTAAGATAAATAAGTGACTGCAATTGTAATAATAATAATAACAATAATGATGATATAATAATAATAATAGTAATAATAATAATAATGGTAATAATAATAGTGATATACTGATTATATTTTTATGTATCTGTAATAGTAACATATTTAAGTATTATTTAAATTTATATTCGTTTGCATTAATCTAATTAAGGTTAAATGGATATTATATTGTTAAATGAAACTTTAGTCAGTTATTGTATTTTACCGAGTTATATTTTAACTTGAAATTGTAATGTTCATTGAAAATGTCAATGAAACAGATATTAACTAAAAGTCTCACTCTATCTCAAATTGATAAAACTTAGAAAATATAGAGTTGGAATTTAATACGATGATATATATATACATCTGAATTTCCGTGCTTTCCTAATCACAATCTCGTTTGTCGTTCGATATTCCATAAAATAACCGTACAGTTTAATTCTGGAAATTATACTGCTTCACCAAATCACTGATTCCTTCGATTAGATTAAATCAAGTTTTATTTATGCTGGAGCATTCATTTAAATTTGAATATGATTAATCCTTGTTTCCCATATCAGTTCAAGTGTTCACTTCGTAAAATTATTCAACGCGAATCGTGACTAAGAAGCTTTTAACAGTGTATGAACCTTTATTGTTTTTATTCACAAATTTGTTGTTATAAATGAGTAGCTTAATAACTCATTAGAGTATAGTTTCTCAGTATTATAAACCATTTATTTATTTAAACACATAAACATTGGTACAAAGAGGCACCAAATATATATGCGCCACACAAATCATTTGATTTATATGAGGGCTGGGATACTATTCGAACGCCTAAACCGAAGCAGGTGGTTTTTTTTAGGGAGCCACTCCCCATGTTCACAGTAAATAAAATGTCCAGTTTCCTATTACAATGTGTATAGTAGTAAAGTACTATTCACGACTGTACATTCATCTATACGTTTTTAATTCCACTCTTCTGAATATTATAAATATCCAATAAAATCATATTGAACTGGTTTGCTTACAGTTGACAGAGAGACGAAATATCAATATCACTAATATGTGTATTCTATTAAATGTAATAACATTAATTATTATAGCTGACTGTACATATGTGCAGAATGAGAAATTACTTGATTCTTTTCTTTTATCATTTACTGACTGATATCTAATCTACATAATATATATTTATTTAATTTATAAAATTCTCTTATCGTTTGGATATTATATGGTTAAAGGTAGTCGGCAAGAGACTTTGGAACTCATCTCCATGCACTCATCAGCAGCTTTAAAGTAACTAGTGTTCAGTGTGGGATTCGAACCCGCATCGCCTAGGTTCACAGTTTGGGAAGTCATATAGCTTCATATGTCTGGAGACATGTTTACAATTTTACGACAATTGAGTTACCACCAGCTGATTTTGTTCTATTTTCTATCTATTAAAATGACATTTTTTATTGTATACAAAACTGAAGCACGTGAAGATAACATTTTTTGTATGAATTATAATATAAACACGCTTCTTGTTGTCTAACATTTACTATTCAATATTGGCTTAAATTTCTATCACTTATCCTACTACATTAATATCACAAATAAAGGTATTTAGCTTAGCCAACTAGTCCGTGGCAAATTCGACCAGTTAGCCTTAGTTTCTAATATGCTTTGCATACTTTACTTGAGTATAATATTTGGTGCTTTCAGATCCTTAAGACCGTACTATATGTGTGTTTTGTTCACCATAATTAATAATCGGTTCTTTCTTTAATATTGTTAGTCATATTCAGATGACAGTGATTAGTAAACTCCTCCTTTTGTCACTAGGAATACTTTCATGAGATTGCATTAACTAGTTTCTACCCGCTGTGTTCAAACTGAGTTTGTTTCTTACAAAACCATAAAATGAAAAGCGATTACTGGGTGGTATATTCAGTTATTGAACATGGGAAAGTGCTAGAAATCTTGGTGGTAAATCATCCTTAAACAACGATGCAAATAATCCTGGTAAATTTTTCAGCTTATAAGCGTATACGAACTTTTAGGATGTCGTGGAAGTGCATCTGGGGACATTGGGTTATGAACTCGTAGATTGCTTACCATAAAGTTACTTAATCAGTTATATCTACTCATGAATCAAGATAATGTTGCGGCTTTTGTAAATTCTTAAACCACAAACCGATAAAAATGGATCAATATACTTTATGTTTGATCCTGTCTAGATTTTAATTTTAATCTTAGCTTAAATCGACTGGTGAATTCAGCCATTAAATTATTAAGATCTCCACAAAGTCCCATTCTGATAATAATCCAATATTACATGTTACTGCAGTGTGCTGTTAGTTATCTGATGTAAATCAAATCCCATTAAAAAATTAGGTTTTAAATCAACAAAAGACGAAATATAATTGAACATCTTGTTTGATCAAGTGAAGTTTTACAAGTTCGAGCATTTCTACTTTAGCACCAAAACAGAATACACATGATGAATATTTGAGGCAATCGTACTCGCGATAGTCGTATAAGTTAGGGACATAACAATCCACAATTTTCTATCACTCGATAAAAGATTTGACTCTTTAAAATCGGTAGTTAAATGTTTACTTTTGGTTAGGTTCAACATTCACAAAGAAATTCATAATCTGATATATTTCTCAACAGATCTGTAAAATTTAGTACATTCGGTTCATTAGATATTCAATTTAAGTAAATCCATTCGTATGCTCCATCCTTTATAGGGTAGATTTAGTAAAATCTAAATTATCAAATTAGATAACAACTAGGATCAGAGGAAAACTGTTCTAATCATATTTAAACTATCGACCCACCGTTTTTAATTTCTGACTCGATTAATAATCTCGGTATATAATTCAGCTGCTATAATCTGTTTATGGTATAGTAATGCGACCTACTTAGTGAAAAACTTGTAGATCATATAATCTATGTTAACCGGTGAGTAGATGAGTTCGATTTTATATGAACGCCATAGAACTTCGGCAATATTTTGCCATATGGAATTAAGTTTGTTGATGGTACTAAATACTTTTGATGTGGATATATAACAATCACTCTCGTGATTAGTTTTAATTGAAATATGATAATCAGGTGTATTCTTCAGAACAGTTCAGAATGTCTATCAATTAGCTTACATTAAAAAGATGAAATAAGTCATGTGATAAATAGTTTATTTTCTGAGATCATGACTGTTATCTAACTTTAGAAAAGTAGATAAACTGCTTTTGGATCCGTTCAATTATATGACTATCAAATCGAGCTGTATCACCTTTCAAAATATAGATTTCGATTCGCTGTAATGAGACGATTTCTTTCATCTTATAGACCCATTCTTGTAGTTTGAAATTACGAAAAATTAATTGCAGAATGATCAGATTTAGATTATGTATTAATTTATAAAATTATTGGCTTATGTTTCAATTTTTGAACGCTTTTATTCTTAGCCTTTTAGAAATGTATGCATTCAGTTGGTATACATCTTTCCAAAGTTTAGCAGCGTAGCAATTTCAGCTATATCCTATTTGATACTTTAAGTATAATAATCACTAATCATTTCAGATTAATAATAACAATAATTCTATCTATATGACATTTTCAATTCTGTTGTCTATTTTGTTAACATTATCGATTGTTCTTTTTCTAAGTACTTTTTGTCTGACCGTTTTTTTCTATCTTTTTCGTTTAGGTAATATACCGACACTTCACGACCTACATTTGAATAATAATCCGAATTTGAATAGTTTACCTGCTGAACTCTCACTATGTGGAAAATTGATTATATTGAATTTAGAAAGTTGTCCATTACGTGCTTTACCTGAACCAATAGTTCAAGGTGGTTCTGCCATGATTATCTATGTAAGTTTTTTTTATAAGTAAACATTTTTATTATTCAAAATGGAATAATTAAATTATCTTGAAATTAGATAAACAGAAAAGACACTAGTCCTTATTGTTTGTTGTCTTGTTCATTATGAGTAGGGTTTATTCTCTATTTTACTTTCAAATAACACTTGCCAAAATATTTGTGATTGCTTATTTTCTATTTCACTCGCTACCTTATTAACTGGTTAAGTATATGAGTGGGAATGAACAGTTATAAACTTTACTCACTCAATTTCTCTTTGGAAATTTAGTAGTGGTAATATCCCATCGTGAGTTATGGTTACGGTTAATAATTTAAACAATCAAATTGTTATACTTTATTTTAATTCATTTTATAATCTACTAACAATGTCATTATTCTCTTGTAATTTCTTATGGCCCAGCCGTTGCTGTTACCTTGACTTGTTGATTGGGCTTGCCTAGCGCGATGAAGCAATCGGGTTACACCGGCTTGAACATTCGTTTATCAAGGTCCTACTATGTCAGGCAAGTCGATTGAAGAGTGGTAAGACTAAAATCAGCAAACCCCAAGGTCTGAGGGCGAAATCGTACTGCCGATTGTACAAAAGTGTGTCGGCAGTAAAGTGTTTCCCTTAGACAACTAGCATGATAGTGATGTTTCCTATCTTCTGAAGAAGGTTGGGGTTAGAAAAGGTCGACCTTAAAATGCACACCTCGCCTTACCTCACGGATATCCGTCTCCGGGGGCAAGGTCTCAACGAATCCGAAGCTAAAACAAAAACTACCCACAAAAAGGCCTCATGTATTTGTCCCTTGGACACTGGGGTCACCCTGTCAGGCCAATAAGACCAACTCTAACCCAGTTTCCTATCTAGGTATCTCTAGAAGAACCCTTCCATGATGTGGGTAACCGGGAAGTAATGACCACCCTAATACTTCTAACAGCGCTCAAGACCACTGACTGACTGAATTTCTTATGTAATTAGTTACTATTTTACAGAGACAACATATTAGAAATATGAGTTATCCTGTTGGTAGTATGTTCATATTTGATTTTATGTTGTATAGTCGTGATATTTAGAAGCATTCGAATTATTGTACGAACTAGGAATCCCAAAAATAACGCAATCTAAGTAAACAGAATTCGGTGAGCAAAAACAAACGTTTTGTATTTCGAATTCGAATCGAGGCAGTCATCAAGTGCAGAGGAATCATTAGTTCATACAAACACCACATTAGTGCATAGGAGATCCGTGGAATTGATAGTAGTGAGCCCATTTTTAATAGTATGGGGAAATTATACCTTTGATAATTTTAGTACTTCGTTTTTCTTTGAGTATAACGTTTTTCTGACCAAGTATTTATTTTCAAGAGACCTTGGTTTATATATAAGTGGAAATGAATTAATTTTAATACAGTAGCTCGACTTACTGTCCCGATTGTTTATATTAACATTTTACTTGATAGCTTACATCGAAATTATTTTGAAATAAATTAAATTTGTCTGAATTTGAACATCTTGTTCATAATTCTACATTTTGGATCCAGTGGGTGAACTGGTTTCCATCTTATCACCACTACCATTTTATTCTATTTCAATACAGTACTTCTGAAGTCTCTTTTCTAAATAGGTGACGTCCGTCACTATTTCATCCTTTGTCTGTGATTATTTCCTTATCTAAGAATGGGAGACGATGAACCATAACCGTCCTCACTCCTGGTTAGTACTTACACAGTTTTGCTGAAGCAATTATTCGATTTGTGATTTTACACTAATTTCTTAGATTGATCCTGTGCTTTCTTACAAGACATCAATAAATACACATACAAGTATGATCTCAAATTATTTCATTATATTGTTCTGGTGACCAGCTAACGTCAGGAAGTTTGGTCGCATATACTACAGTATTCATATTGAGTAATTTTTTGAACCACATCTTAACATTATAGTGTCACCTCATCCATCATGACTTTCAAGAAATGACGGAAAATAAAATCAATTTTTATGATCTTTGGTTCCAAATGACACACTAATACGATATCTGTTGATAAGATTCCAGTTACATGTGTATTTTAAATCCCCAGTCCACCTTTTTTCTTGACCTCGTTAAAACTTCTCTTCAATTATTTTTTATACCTAATTGCGTTAATATGATAATCATCATCATTTTTATAAATTTCTATAAGCTACTTATTAGCGACTTTCTATTAACAACCTCCGGCAGTACGTTAAGTTGGATCAGTGAATCTCATCAATTCCAAATTTAGTGAATCATCAATAACTCATTTCATTAGTGTGTAGGCTTCAACAAGTAACAAAAGATGTCTAAATATTGATTGACAAAATACTTACTCAATAACCGTGACCAATGTTGGACAGTGTGTTCATTTCATATAAAAAACTATAAGAAAAATAACTAGATAACTTTTCCAAATCTATCATGGTAACAAAACTATCACTAACAGAGAACTAATGACCTATGTTTGAACTCAACAAATAGATTAATCAGTAGGACGATGATAGACATTCCAACTAATCTCAAGCTACTCTACACACCACAGTTTAGATGATAAATAACTATTAAATCTTCAGTCCTAATGAAGTCATGAAACCTGCATCTCCCTTGAAGTGTGAATTAGAAACAAGTACTAACATGCTACTTCGGTAAAATTTTAGATTGATCTGGAGAGCTAAATTTGAATGCTCCACACTAGTGAACTACCATATGAATTATCTACACTAAACGTCCTTGATAAAAGCCACTGGCTTTACCTATCACCAACTAACCGTATCGTGATTATGCTGTCGAAAGTAAATTCGTTTTTATCTGACTCTTTCCTATTCGAATTTCGAAATATTTAGTGTTTAATGTTCGTTTTCCTGATGGGCATATAGTAAGTTCGTTAGATGAAGTAATCTTCCGTTTCTGTTTCCTTGAAGTATTATTAACCTGACGTACATTCCGTTGTAATATATTAGTTACCAAAGATTTTTCATTTCATAAAAATTTGCCTTCCAATCTAATAGACTGAGTAGTTATAGTAAACATTGAAAAATTTTAATTAATGAACTGGTTATCTAGATAGATTCTTAATTGTTTAGAATTAACAGCTAAACGTTTTAGGAGAATTTGACATTGATTGCCCATAGCTTGTCTTTTAAAACTCTCGTTTTAATTAATTTCATTTTTAGTTCCTTCAACAAGTGCTACAGTTACGACGGCAACAAAATATCTTATAAATACTAACAAGTCAAACGATTACATCAAGTTATTTTGTATTCATACTTTTACTTTGCACTTACACACATAAGTGCCTTATATCTTCCCAACTCACTAACTGTAAGTCAATACAATCTGTATAATGTTATTTTAATTATGGAATGTGTGTGTACATATATATATATATATATATATATACGTTTTCCCGAAGTTTAGTTAATTTAGACAGATAGTGGATCAAATGTTACCTTTCGAAAGTGCTCTGCTGTTATTGAAATCTCGGTTTAGTATCTTTCCTAATATCCAAACCAAAATCATAATCACTTCATTCACATCGTTATGGGGATGATTTCTACCTCTCCCAACTGACAATTGACACTATTTTTCCACATTTAGTAGATGATTTCTTTACTAACTTCTAACAATCAAGATGTGTTTACCAATTCAGCTGTCGAAGACTTTTTGACCTTGCTCCATTTATGATTCTTCTGAAAGTTTGGCAACAGATTTTTTTGAGATTTCTTCATAAGATGTATATGCTATTTAGGATAATATTACATTATACCTCATTTTGCAGCACTTTGCTAGTAAATCGAAAATAAGTTAGTTAATCAACTAGACAAAAAAACTAAAAGCTGAGGTCTTTTTTATGTTTGAAGACTTCCGTCGTCATTAAAAAAACAATTATTAGTATTCTTTATCTAAAATGGTGGACTATTTACAGTTTGATATTTTCTCATTGGAATACTTTCTTTCTTTTCAAGAATCATACCGACAAGTTGACAGAAATAAGTACATTTTCTACTGTCATATGTTTTAATTTGATGAATTCTATTATAATAACTCGGTTTCTAAGATTTTTTCATTTAATTCATTAATGTATGAATTAAGTGTAGCTTGTTTGGAGCCAACTCCGCCTCTAACTCTTCTAGGGCTACCTCCAGTCCCAAGCCCGGATAAAGGAGGAGAGATGGGTGTGGGGTCGGCAACCCCATCCCGTAGAAAACAACGTTGCTAAAGAACACTAACCAGAATAAATACTTTGAACCACTTAAACTCTGCTCTCCGAGTTCAAGGAAGAATTATGAACCCTTATGATGAAAGCCGAGATTCTTCAGAAGTCACGAGGCCCATGCTCCTTCTCACACTAGAACAACAATTTTTATTGGTACATGGATTGTCCGGACAATGTTGGAGACCGGGAGAATCAGTCAAATAGCAACAAAAAATGAGGAGATACAACTTTGCGGTGCTCATAATCAACGAAACCCATTGCACCCAAACTGAACAGAAAAGGATAGATTTAGGAAAGATGCTGTTGTATTCTGGCCATGAAAAAGTAAATTCTCAGCACACTCAGAGAGTTGCTTTGATGCTGTCCAAAGAAGCACGAAAAGTACTTACAGGATGGAAATCTCACGGATCCAGGATCATCAAAGCATAGAAGCAAGTAAAGAAGAACATTAGAGCCGATAAGCAGAAATACGTGGAAGAGCTAGCAGCAGACGAAGCTGCAAGAGAAGCAAATATGAAACAGCTACACGACACGACGAAGAAACTGACAAGAATATATAGTAAACCAGAGAGACCGGTCAAAAACAAAGAGGGTGAGCCAGTCACTGGAATTCAAGAACAGATAAACAGATAGGTGGAATGCATCAAGGAACTGTTTAATAGACCAGCTCCATTGGATCCACTGGATATCGAGGCAGTACCTACAGATATTCCTATAGATGTCACTCCAACAACAAGTGGTGAAGAAATTATGACAATCAGAGATATCAAGAGTGGGAAAGCAGCTGAACCTGACAATATATCAGCCGAAGCACTAGCGTCAGACATAGAATTAACTGCAAAGATACTCCTAGTTCTATTTAGGAAGATTTGGGGGGAGAGGAAACAAGTGCCGACGGACTGGAAAGAAGGATACCTCATCAAGATACGAAAGAAAAGAGATCTGAGCAAATGTGAGAACTGCAAAGGCATCACACTACTGATGGTTGACTGGATTATGAAAACCACGACATCTGAAGGGAAGCACGGAATTAAACGGACAGGTTGTATGCAAATAGACGATTTGAACTTACAGAGCTGAAACGTGGAAAACTACCACAACCATCATGAAAAGGGTCCAGGTATTTATGAACAACTGTCTACGCAAGATACTGGATGTTTGTTGTCTGATATCATCAGCAACAGCCTATTGTTGGAGAGAACAAACCAGCTTCCAGTTGAAGAGGAAACTAGGTAAAGACCTTGGAAGTGGATAGTACACAGATTGAGGAAATCATCAGACTACATCTGGAGGCAAGCGCTAACTTGGAATCCTGAAGGGAAACGGAAAAGAGGAAGGCCAAATAACACACTGCGTCGAGAATTGGAAGCAGACATGAAAAGGATGAATAGCAAGTGGAAGAACTGGAAAGGATTGTACGGGACATAGTTGGATGGAGAATGTTGGTGAACGGCCTATGCTCATCGAGGAGGGGATAACAGTCATAAGTAAGTAAGTATTTTTAGTGCGTTATGTTGATCATCATTTATCATCATTCACTGTTTGTCTATCGAAGCTTTTCATATTTACATTATTCTATTTGAGTTATGATATATTATGTATTTATTCAATTCTTCATTTATTGCTTGTTTTTCACCTCTTAACGATATTGTGAATACTACACAAGAATGCCTACTGATCTATTCCGCTAAACAGATTAATTTATCATCTGAATATTGAAGTACTCCAGATATATAGATATATATAATCTTCTTGTTTGTATTCTGTCTCAGGCTGTTGTGAACATGTTAATTCTCAAAGTTTTTTTAATTCAAAGGAAACTAACCCGTGTAAAACAAATAAATTATATATAATTTCTGTTACGGTAACCTAGTTTGCGCACTGTCCTCTCTACTGTATCATGTAATTTCATCCACTCACATTCATTACTGACTTATTATTTTATGTATATACATATTTTCTGTGTAACAAGTAGCATATGATAATATGCATATTAACGTGTCGTAGCTCTATAGATCGTTTTACTCATTTCTATTGTCCTAGTTCTTCTTCTTCGTATAATGTCGACTTTTGACAAGTGATTAAAAATATCGTTCTTTCATTATCGTTATCAAATGAACTGTTAATATTTACATTATTGTCTTTTCAAAATGATATATTTCTTTCTGTTATTCTAGCTGTTGTTACACTGTGAAAGTATATCATACATTTATATATATAGTTGTTGACAATTTAGTATCCACAACCTGAGGACTGTATATATAAAATGATTTACTTTCGTCATTATTATCAAAATGTTCAATTAATGCGTTGACTTAAATTTTACCAGTCATTTTCTTTTGTTTTTCTGTGACTATTTCATCAACACTAGTATTACTTATTATTATTGTTATTATTATGACTATCACTATGTTTTTCCTTTGCATATAAGCAATTTATTAGTTTTTACTTTGATGTGAATTCGATTACTTTAATTTGTTATATATATATATAGCCATCAGGCTGTTTATATATCCGTAACCATTATTAGTTCATTATCTCCAGGATATCTCCCTAGAGTTTTAATAGTATGAATATATTCTAGAAAAAAGTAAAAGAACTTTGTTTTCACTACATTTGTTTTGTTTCATGTGATGGGACAAGAGTTCACTTAGAAAGATGTACAGTATGTTTATTCTTTTGTTCATAAAATTGATTGCTCTTTACATTTTTCTATCACTGGAATGGTATAAAAATAATTTGTTCACACAAAGACATTGTAGTGGCTTGGAATACACAAAAGAAGAATTGAATACTATGACAAGATATGTAATATACATAGTAGTTTTAAGTCTAATAACCTACTTAAGTCTCACGATTATCCAGGTTTTCGTGGAAACTCCCAACTGACAGACTGCACTTATGTCGGTCATGCAAATTATTTTGCCTCGCAGGTTTCCCCTTCATAATAAGAACAATCAGTCCCAAAATGTTCGTGTGAACAAGAAGTTTTAGAAACACTGAGGATCTTTCAGATGAGGACACTGTTAACGTCATCGTCAACTTTGATTCAGAATTCCATAAAGCTTAGAAAAAATGTCTTGGATGCATCAGGTGTACTGAATTATAAAATGGTTTCGTGACTTAAAATAACAGAGCTGATTTATTTAGAGGCTTCATGGCCCTTCAGAAACACTGGTATCAGAGTCGGATTCAAAATTTTTTAAAGACTTTAAAATTAGTTTAACTATGAACAAGTTCTTGAGCAGCCTCCTAATCGGTAGTACAGAAGTAAGGGTTCAACCAAACTCAAATTCACAAGGACCTGGAAGCTAGGCTACGTTGGATACTTACTAAACAAGATGCTCCTAGAAACAGTAACCGAATTTTCTAAGGTTGGTGGTGAAAGCGTTCACTGAAAGAAGCGTATTTCTGTGGGAAATTAAACTTATTAGGAAACACGACAAAAAACATTGAAACTGATTGATCGCCTACTAAGTCTTGATACTACAGTTGATTCATACCACATATCTCACTTGAAATAGAACTTATCTCCTGTCAATATGACAGTAATTTATAGCATTATTATGTCTTGGAAAATTATTTGATATATAGATATGGGTAATCATAACAGAGAAGCATGCTAACTAATGCGACACATTGAAATTCAACTTACAGGACGCATTATGTTACAAGGCCCTGACTTAACGTGTTTCTGACGACATTTCCTGCATTGACCTCCAGTCTTCATCATATAGGTGTGGAAACTTAATTGTAATTACTGGATTGGCTGCTGGGTTGCGTAGATTTTTATTTATGATGGATTTGGATTATTGTTTTCTGAGTCAAACTGTGTTCGTCCCTAATGGATATTATTCGATCTCGAAAAGACTTGTGATAATGTCGATCATTTCTCTCTTTGTCATCTCGTTGAGGCTGCGTAATTAAAACTCCGTGGTCTTGAAAATAGTCACTTCTACTAGTGCTTCCAAATAGTATTTCATAAAATACAGAAAACGAACTAAACTATGGTTGGTGTTTCATTTAAGACTTCGTGAGGCGTGTACAAACGTACTTTTTACGGAAAACGAAGCCCTATTGCCTTGAGCTGTTCTGAAGGAGAGCTACAACAACTCGTACGAATATACTAACAATTATCATTAATCATGATCAAATAAAATGTCCCGCCTCCCTTTCTACTGGCATTGTTTTAATCCTCGAAATGAATATCAAATACTTACCGATTCGCTGCATGGCTACGCTGAAACAGGCACCAGTTTTAAATGTACGAAGTGGATTTATGACTATAAATTGTTTCGAGAGAACGTCACACGCATTACAATACTGTTATGCATCAGTATGGAATCATGATTTATTTGTAGGGGAAAATGGAATTCCGGTGTTTGTACAAGGTAACCTCCATTGTCTCTACGGAATAATCATCTACAACAAGAAAAACAGCACAGAACTTAAGTAACAAATATTTCTGTGATGGGCTCGTCGTTATACAAGGTCCTGAGACATCTGTTTATAGACTTTACGAAGATACACTGCGGTATTACCGTGGGCTAACTGCTCTAAGAAGCCTAGATAGAACTTTACAAATTATTATGGATTCTATGTTTAGAAGACTATGACGTCTAACGGTATTTTAAACCTATCTGAACTATGAAAAAAGTCAGAAGACTAGCGAGGTGGACTTTGAAACTTTTAGGCTGATGGTAGGTTGTGTGGCTACTTCACCTCTGAAATCGACAATTTGTGTTTAATAAATTGAAATCGCAATCGGCTCTTTTGTTTCTCCCTAGAAATAGGAATACATTGGAGAGTTAAAACATAGGAATGTGTACTTAGTGGCATGAGGCTAGTTGGTATTTTTTAAAATTGATAGTTACTTTGTCCCGTCATTAAGTTGAATTGTAAATATAATACAATCATTTGGGCTCACCAAGTCCTGTCTATCTTGAATCAGACTATTTTTGAAACTATTATTCAGCAAATCAATCCGAATAATCCTAGTTACCATTGCTACTTATTGGATAAATAAGGAAAATCATGCGGAGCGGAAAGACATTTAGACAGAAATGAAGATTAGCTGAATGCAAGTCTACTGATTCGATCATCGAGAGTAGAAAATACGTCTGGCTTTAGATTTTCTGAAGCATAACTATGATGCTTGAGTGACCCTCTTAAACAACTAGTATTTTTTCAGAAAGTAGGTTGAGCATCATTGTTGGATACACGAAAACTTTCAGAGTGGCAAAAGCTACTTAGAAGTCGTTGAGCAACTAGGTTTTCTATAATGTGGCAGTAAATGATAGTAAAAACACGTTCATCACCATTCATAATTCAATAAAGAAATTCAAGTAAAAAGCCCTTATTTCTAAATGAAATACTGATGGATCCAGGTTCTGGAGATATTTTACCATGTTCTTGGTAATATCAGAAAATAATTATGAACCTAGAGTGTACTTCATATCGCATAATTATGTCAAAATACTCGGATAATAGGAGGGGACTATCAGTGCGCTTGGTACGTCCTCTAGTTGATTACCTCAGAATACGATATACAACTAACGGAACTCGAACGTGTAATAACTCACAGACCTCAAATCACAAGACAGAAGGGCGATAAATAACGCGCTCTATTTATAAGGACAGTGGTATTGTTTCTCGTTGAGTTAATTAACTGTTTTGATCGTAAATTACGCATCAAAACTACTGTTTACACTTTAATTGCATCTACCCCAGTTAATGTGATATTGTATTGAGTGTTTCGATTTTGCTTTTGTGTATTTATTACATCGAAGCATACTTAGTCGACTTTTACTTGATTTATTTAGTTAAGGTTTGAGAATCCTTTTACATATCCTGTTCTTGTCACCGTTCTAGTTGATTTTCAAGATGGCTAGCTCTGCTCATAAATGTGGACAACCATATTGATTATTTCCCGTGGAGGAAGGGATGCAATGTGGTGAGTGTAATAAGTGGTCCCATAAGATGTGCACCCGATTAAGCCCCACTGAATATAAAAGGTGCTCAAAGCCCAACTCTCATTGGCTTTGTAGTTTTTGGTGCTCGAGCCAAACATTGCTTATCCAGGAAGCAATTAATCTCTTGGTGTTGGCTAATAAGGAGGTTGATGAGGGCTGTACTGGCAACATTGGTACTGATGGCGAAGATTGCGTTAGTGTCGTGAGTGCTGTCACGGCGCAAGCCAGACATCTAACTGTGCAACCCGCTATTAAACCGTTTACCCCGAAACAATCAATGAGTGACACCTCATTAGATATTTGTGGCCATGTTGCTACAGCAGCAACCGGTGACTCAGATAAAACAATTACTGTCCCGAGTGGTTCTAGTGTGGATGCTACGACTGATGGAATATGGATGACACGGAAACGCAGAAGAAAAGGAAAGACAGCTAAAACTAATGACCGTTTACTTGATAAGTCCTTGGTGGACTCTCAGACCACTCCGCCACATTCACATGGTAAAGCTTCGTCTAACATTGTTGTGAGTCGCTCGCTCGACTCCCAGGACTCTGTTACAATAAAAACTATTCGTAAGATACCAGTAGTTAAAATACAGGATCTAACGTCACGGTCGAAGCTGTGAACACAGTTTCAAAAGAAGCTAAATCCCTCCCTTGTTTAATTATTTGGAATCTAGAGGAGTCGAAAGACAACGACCATGCTAGAAGACATGCACATGACCTGCAGTTAGTGGAGTCTGTGGTAAGGAATGTACTACCTGAAGATGGTTCAGGGGTACATATTACAAAAGTAATACGACTTGGTAAATGGGTTGGAGGCGAGACCCAACCAAGAAGAATCCTGAAGCTGGTTCACGGGGGGTTTTGAAGAAAGACATATTATTGAAAAACGCACCAAAAACTCGTGACTCAAATATCCGTATTCGACCAGATTGGCCGCTTGAGGATCGAATCAAGTGGAAGAATGCTTTAATGGAGTTGAGGACTCGCAAATTAAATGGCGAAAATAGCCTTACCATTAAGGGTTTTCGGGTATTCAGATCTTGGAAGCCAATGCTTCCGAGGCCTGTATGGGTAGAACGACTGATTGCCAAAACACCTTAAGTGTGTGCTACACGAACGCTCGTAGTCTTAGAAATAAAAGGTCCGAGCTAAGTCTGATGGTGGAAGAATTATGTCCCGATATAATCGTTGTTACAGAAACTGGGTTCACCGTTGATATAGACTGTTCTCCTTTCATTGCAGGCTATATCTGTATTATAAGTGATAGAGTTTCAAGTCGCAAAGGGGGAGGTATAATATTATTCGTTAGGGATCACTTTTGTATACAATCAACCATATTGGAGGCTCATACCAGTGGCACATGTGAGGTTGCATGTTGTAAGATTAAATCTAGAAATGGGTTAGTGACTATAGGGGGAATATACCGCAGTCCGCTTTGTCTTGCTGACGACTTTATCCTAAGACACATCTGTTCTTGGGGTATGGCAGAATGTTGTCTCATCATTGGGGACTTCAACGCACCGTATATCAACTGGATAGAGCTTACAGCTCCAGGTGGTGGTTTCCATAGCGACCCTTTATCTACCGTTATTCGGTGTGCACTTGTACAATGTATCACAAAACCGACACATTGATTTGCAACATGATCCGTCACTGATGGACCTCGCCCTCACCCACCACTGTTAGGATGTCTTTGATATTCAGCACCTTCCCCGACTAGTGAACAGTGATCACGTCCTAATTCACTTTAAGTTTAGGACACA